ATGTAAGTTTACACTCACCGGCCACTTTATTAGGTACCCCATGCTAGTAACGGGTTGGACCCCCTTTTGCCTTCAGAACTGCCTCAATTCTTCGTGGCATAGATTCAACAAGGTGCTGGAAGCATTCCTCAGGGAGTTTTGGTCCATATTGGCATGATGGCATCACACAGTTGCCGCAGATTTGTCGGCTGCACATCCATGATGCGAATCTCCCGTTCCACCCACATCCAAAAGATGCTCTATTGGATTGAGATCTGGTGACTGTGGAGGCCATTTGAGTACAGCGAACTCATTGTCATGTTCAAGAAACCAGTCTGAGATGATTCCAGCTTTATGACATGGCGCATTATCCTGCTGAAAGTAGCCATCAGAAGTTGGGTACATTGTGGTCATAAAGGGATGGACATGGTCAGCAACAATACTCAGGTAGGCTGTGGCGTTGCAACGATGCTCAATTGGTACCAAGGGCCCAAAGAGTGCCAAAAAATATTCCCCACACCATGACACCACCACCACCAGCCTGAACCGTTGATACAAGGCAGGATGATCCATGCTTTCATGTTTTAGACGCCAAATTCTGACCCTACCATCCGAATGTCGCAGCAGAAATCGAGACTCATCAGACCAGGTAACGTTTTTCCAATCTTCTATTGTCCAATTTCGATGAGCTTGTGCAAATTGTAGCCTCAGTTTCCTGTTCTTAGCTGAAAGGAGTGGCACCCAGTGTGGTCTTCTGCTGCTGTAGCCCATCTGCCTCAAAGTTCGACGTACTGTGCGTTCAGAGATGCTCTTCTGCCCACCTTGGTTGTAACGGGTGGTTATTTGAGTCACTGTTGCCCTTCTATCAGCTCGAACCAGTCTGGCCATCTCCTTCTGACCTCTGCATCAACAAGGCATTTCCGCCCACAGAACTGCCGCTCACTGGATGTTTTTTTCTTTTCGGACCATTCTCTGTAAACCCTAGAGATGTGTGCGTGAAAATCCCAGTAGATTAGCAGTTTCTGAAATACTCAGACCAGCCCTTCTGGCACCAACAATCATGCCACGTTCAAAGTCACTCAAATCACCTTTCTTCCCCATACTGAGCTCGGTTTGAACTGCAGGAGATTGTTTTGACCATGTCTACATGCCTAAATGCACTGAGTTGCCGCCATGTGATTGGCTGCTTAGAAATTAAGTGTTAACGAGCAGTTGGACAGGGTGTACCTAATAAAGTGGCGGTGAGTGTATATGTACTATTATATACTACAAAGTTGTTTCTAAACTAGATCTATCCATGTATCTATCCATCTATCCAGCTATCCATCTATCTATCTATCTATCTATCTATCTATCTATCTATCTATCTATCTATCTATCTATCTATCTATCTATCTATCTATCTATCTATCTATCTGTAGTTCTGTCTGTCTGTCTGTCTGCCTGCCTGCCTGTCTGTCTGTCTGCCTGCCTGCCTGTCTGTCTGTCTGTCACTCTATCTGTAGTTCTGTCTGTCTGTCTGTCTGTCTGTCACTCTCTATCTGTAGTTCTGTCTGTCTGTCTGTCTGTCTGTCTGTTTGTCTGTCTGTCACTCTCTATCTATCTGTAGTTCTGTCTGTCTGTATGTATGTCTGTCTGTCTGTCTGTCTCTCTATCTATCTGCAGTTCTGTCTGTCTGTCTGTCTGTCTGTCACTCTCTATCTATCTGTAGTTCTGTCTGTCTGTCTGTCTGTCTGCCTGTCTGTCACTCTTTATCTATCTGTAGTTCTGTCTCTCTGTCTGTCTGCCTGCCTGTCTGTCTGTCTATCTGTCTGTCACTCTCTATCTATCTGTCTATCTCTCTGTCTGTCTGTCTGTCTCTCTCTCTATCTATCTGTAGGTCTGTCTGTCTGTCTGCCTGTGTCTCTCTCTCTCTCTCTCTCTCTCTCTCTCTCTCTCTCTATCTATCTGTAGTTCTGTCTGTCTGTCTCTCTCTCTCTATCTATCTATCTATCTATCTATCTATCTATCTATCTATCTATCTATCTATCTATCTATCTATCTATCTATCTATCTATCTATCTATCTGTATTTCCGTCTGTCCGTCCGTCCGCACCACTGTTCACATTGAAATTAATATGGGACAGACGGGCTCTCTGTCATCACTTTTAATTATCTGATCTTCTCATTATCTTGCTGGCCATGCCTGACTTCCTCCCTAAAACAATCCTTCCACACGTGCCATCTCTCCTCTACCTGTTTCAGCCCAGCTCACTCCATCAGCACTTCTCTTTACACAAGGTCCCTTTATCCTCCTTTTTCCTCCCATTCAACAGCCCTTTTTTATTTCCCTCGGGGTATATACAGCTGACAACAACTTAATTATTGGATTCTGAAGAGCAGTTCATCAGTTGTCTTCTCTTTTGCTCTTTCACCTTTCCTTGAGCAGGTTGATGGATACACGGCTCGGTCTCCACAGGGGTCGTTGGACAAATGGAAGAGTGGCTTTCATCTCAACAATCCTGTCTGCTGCTAAATGCCTGTCAGAAGCTGTTTGGCTTCCTGCAGCGTAGGGTTGAGTAAGGTGACCTCCAGAGGTCTCACCACCAGGTGGACCTCAATCAAAATGCTTACAAAGTCCCTCTTGGGAAGGAGAGCACCCTTCACTTCACAGGCACTGTCCAAAATCAATGCACTTATACTATTAGCACACATATATTGACCTTGGTACACATCTTTTTTAAGAACCAGAAGCCTGCATTTTTAGAACGATAAAGCAATTTCTAGTATCCCAGCTCAATATGCAGATACAGAAGTAGCCTAATGCTAGTGTACCTTTCACCTTTGGAAAGTACTTTTTACATTGACTAACTTTTTTAACATTCTGAAGTCTCACAGCTCTTTTTATAGTTTAAGTTCTTTTTTCAGCCCCTCAAGAAATCTGAAGTCCACCCTCTGACCCACAGTGCTAACGTAAGACAGATCATTACCCGGTATAGATCGAGCTGCTGGACAAGTCTGTGGAGAAATGGGATTATGCCAGGAAGTTGACCTCTCTACCTGTGTATTTTGCTCCAACTGAAAGGTAAAACAACAACAACAACCATTTCAGGTATGTTATTTTTGCATAATGAGACAGGAGGAACTAATTATAATGGCAAAATTATACATTTAAAAATCAAGAAATGTAATTAAAAATGTATTTATTTATTTGTTTGTTTGCTTATTTTAGACATAATATGATATATAGAGTAGGCTGTTGTTTTTTTTTTTTGTCAATTATATTCATTCATTCATTTATGCAAATATCATATCCCATATAAACATTTCACCCTCAAATCACAAGAAAATAAAACAAACTAAGTTAAATTTAATTCACATCTACAGTATATATGTATATTTATACATGTGAAAACATAGCGCATTTCAAAATACATATCATTACAGAAAATGCATTTTTTAATTGGAAGTTGCTTATCTATGTCATTTCCGCCACACACTGTCTCTTCCGCCACGACATGTCATTTCCACCACAACACATATTTTAAAGTAAAACATATATATAAAAAAAACACATACAATCAAAACCAACTATATTCTGTGGTGTTGATAATTGAGCAGTTATATAGTATATGTGTATACACTTTAAGAAATACATGATTTTGAGTTATGATAAGTAAATTAAATGTTCCAGTGATCTAGTTTTAGGTGGGTTTTTTAGTGTAAACATTGTAAAATCTTTACAGTTACATTTCTGAAAAATAAATAAATTGCAAATTTGATCATAGATGTGTGTGCTATTTAATCAAATATATTTATTACAGAAGATATTTAATTATTTTCTCTTCAAAACATGTTTTTGCTATGTGATAGAAATTATGTTTTCTGGGCTGTGAAATAAAAATGCCAATATATATATGAAGAGTTCAGATGCAAAAGCCTCTAAATGCCATTTGAAATTTTATTCTTTAATGATGATTTTTATTAAACTTGTATATTTAAGTTCAGTAATTTCACTTAAATAACAATTAATAGGTAATTATCATTGACATTTAATAAAATCACTGAACTAAATATACAAGCTTGATAAAAATGATCATTCTAGAAGAAAATTTCAAATGGCACTTAGAGGCTTTTGCATCTGAACTCTTCATATATATATATATATATATATATATATATATATATATATACAGTATATATACTGTATATATATATATATATATATTATTCAATACAAATCAGTGCAGCCAACTTAAGGAAGGTTTCTAGACAGATTGGGAAACCAGCTGATACTAAAAAACTGTTTTTAGAAATGTTTTTATTTTCTGAAACTGTCTAGCTCAAAGAGTACCATAGTTGAAGAATAACCCATTAATTTTAGGCAGAAACAAATCATTACAACTTGTGATCACAATGATTACAATATATAGAAAATGTGGCAGTTGGAGTCGTCTCTTCACTGGTGTTGGGTCATCTTAAGTCTTTGTGGCTGGTGTAATCTAGTTACTGCTAGTAATGCATTACATTAATCCAGTCTAGAGGTCATATATGCATAAACTAACTTTTCTGCATCAGAAACGCATAACATGTTCCGTATCTTAGCGATGTTTCTGATGTGGAAGAAGGCTGTTTTTGTAACATGAAATATGATTTTCTAATTACAAGTTGTCTAATTGGCCTATAACACTGTGACTATTTATTATAAACACATTTTTTTTTATTATAAAAAAGTACCCCTGAAAAGTATCTTATCAATGTAATATTGCAAAAAGTGTGATATGATTATTTCAATTGCGTAGTACGGTTATAATAATTGACATACTGAATATAATTTATTTAAATTAAGATTTGAATAAAAAAGGATTTAATATAATTATAAATGTTTGTGTGTGCACATACTTAATCATATTGAAAATAATGTCATAAAGAATATGCTTCATTTTCCTCAGCTAAAGCAAGGACTTTTCTCTCTTTTTAACGCTGATGTTATAGGGTGAAATATGACCCAGACATTTCTTCTTTGGTTTCATCCATTAGTTTCAATAATATAAACTGTTGTTTTGGATAGCAGTGGAGGCCATTTAGTCCAGTTCCAAGCTCTAGCTGCAACATAGTGTCTTTTCTAATTGTATGTGAATTGAGACAGAGCCAAGGTGCTTGTTCAGTCCTTCAGTGCAGAATACCCTGATGACATTTGTTCTTGCCCTGCAGAACAACATCTGATTCTAGCTAATGAGCTAGCGTTGTAAGCCAGGGAGGCTAACACATTTGTAAAACCAGCTGGTGTCATGCCTCACCAGGTCAGATACCCAGAACAACTCGCACAGACAGGCACACAAAAATGTGAAGATAGGTTTACATAATAATGCAGGTTGTATAGATGCAGAGTTATGAATTGTGGGCTTATATGTATGAAAGAAAAGAGAAAGAGAGGGAGATGTGTTTGTCGAGTTGTGGTGTGTCCTCAGAGACGACTGTTTGTCTGGCTGAGATCCAGAACTAATCAGAGATGTTGAGTTGCTCCCATAAGCAAACCAAGACTCCATTTTTAATTTACAAGGCCTAGAATATAGACTCACTATTTGAAACTGTTTTTTCTTTATTTACAAAAATTTGGTGAATAAAACGTTTCCCTGTCACATTTCACATTAGCATCATAATGAGTATAATGAGTCAATACATCATCAAACCTTCTTCCAAAATGTGTTTTTGAATTATCCTGATTCACTATGGTAAGTATGTATATTTTCAACACAAGGATGGTTTTCATAGGAAATTGTGTAGATTACATACGTCACCTGTCAAGTATGAGAAAAGCATTTTATTAACACAGATAAATTGCCATATGTAGCTCTCAAACAGAGTTCATTTTAAACATTATATGTGAAGGGTCATTTCATTATTTTATTTTCAAGGAAGCAATGTGTCAATGAATGACATTGTAACATCTTCAGTTAGTCAGCTTGAGATCCTTTCCATCTAAACATATTAAGATGGAAAAGCACAACTAAAGCACAACCAAAACAATGTTCTGCCACAAAATGCATGCAGTTTTGTTTTATAACCGCTAGAGGACCAAACTCATACTTTTAGATAATATATGCATAAAGATAATTTGGCTTATTGTATGACCATTATTTGCATTGTGACATTATTTTCATGGCACATTTCCCCCTATAATTCTCATTGCCATTCATTGAAACATTAAATCTTAATGAGCCCAAATGAAATGTTTTGCAACAAATAATTAATGATGTATCAATAATAATCCTAAAATAATCTTTATTAAAATATAATTTCTTTTTTTGCATTTGTGGTGAAACACCTCACATTTCTGACATGTTCTTAATAAGATTCACCCTTACAGAAGCACTGAAATGATAAATTCACTAAATTCAAAATGGTAGCCTAATAAATGAACAAACAGGCTATAGGCTGCATACACTGCATTTTATACATGGCATAAGGCATTTCACCCACGCATGTAATGACTTCGTAGAGCACATGTTTGATGTCTGGCATTTTTCCAAAGGCTTGTTAGAGATAACTGGACCAATGGGTCCGCTCTTCTCACACTTCTCGCTGTCTAACAACACTTAGAGAGATCTGAGAAACAAACTGTGAGCAGTTGTGTTGTAGCAAGAGATTTAACAACAGCCTCGATAAGAGCAAATGATCACCTCTGCCTCGTGAACACCAAACACAGGAATGAAAATCGATGAAATGCCCATTTTTAAAATAGTCAAATATGAGTGTTTGGTGTGTTGGTTTTATAGAGCGCAACAGAGGGCTCTACAAGTAAAAATCCCACTCATTTTCTCCAATTGACTTGATAACATTGACAAGACAGCCTTACCATGAGCTATGTGTTCTCTGTTATTCAGTTTTATTCAGTTGAAGGACTTTTAGTTTGTATTTATTCAGTTCACATCTGTCTTTGTTTGATTTCCCACCACTCTTTAGTTGCAATGGTCACACCCTTATTAGTTTATTTGTTCCAGCTGTGTTCAATTAATTACATTGTTTAGTTCGTCTTCTCTCTTTGTCTGATCTCGTTCACGTTTAGTGAGGCATAGCTAACACCTGTTTGCATGTCTTGTGGATTATGAGTATTAAACACTGTTGGAATTTTATTATTCTTCCTTCGTCTGTATTCCTGCATACACACCGTGACACTATGAGGTTGTTAATCCATGGTATACACATTTGTTAAAGCCAACAGTTCACACTATTTCAACTAGTTTTATACATTACAATTTGTTTTTTCCTGGTGGGGAAAAAAAACATTAAATGATTCTGCAAAGAAATGACAGACTACTATGCTCTTAAAATACTGAAATACTTGTGAGTGTGTGTGTGTGTGTGTACAGTTGTGGTCAGAATGAATGGCACCCCTGGTAAATATGTATATTGTGTGTACATAGAAAAAGTATTAGATCTTTGAGATTAGCTCATCAAAAACAAAGGTGTTGCGCTTCTAATGTTGTTCAGTGTATTTTTACTTGATCCTAAATGTCACAGCAAAAAGCAAACTGTTGTGACTGGTCATTTTACACCTAAAGCAGACTTTAAGTAAATCTCTAATGTGTTTGGCTATCCTGAGGCCTGTTATTTCACTCTATCAGTCTCAGGCTCAGCTATGACTCATTTCAAATTATATCAGCACTCTACATTGCAGAGGCTTTTCAGAGGTGAACTCATGCATCTGTGACCACTTCACTCTTCTCTGGTCTCTTCAAGTGCCTCTACAGGAGGGCAGGCTCTCTGATGTTAGTGTTCATAGCTTTTCCCTTAACCTGATGGATTGAATTGTCTAAGATGTCATATTCAAGGGAGCCCAGCTTTTAATGCCCCATTTTGCATGTGTTATGGAGCTTCGGTGACCTTTTTGTTCCCCTCATTAAAGCTTTGGCTATTTGATAATTAATCTCTGATGTTCTTGTTTTCAAGGGAATGGCAGCAGTTGTGACAGATGCATATCGCGCAATAACCTTTGCATTGGTCTGAGTCCAGCATTTAAGGACAGTTTATCACAGAACCTGCCAATCAAATGCTCACATGGCAACTTGCTGTTTTTGATACTAAGTTTCCAACTATGTCCTCGTTTGACGCATTTACAGGCACATAAAAAATACATAGGCATTGGTAGACACTAATTAGGGGGCTTCAGGCCCCTTCTTTCATCTCAGTCCTAAAAACCAGTGGTAATATGGTCTCTCTTCCCATTTGTTGAAAACAGCAGTTGCTTTATCTAAGGATTCTTCACTCGGAATCATCCTCTTAGCAGTTATAAAAACTTTACATTTGGTACAATAAAGTCATCATGAAATCAAAATGAACAATTCTTATTTTTTCATGGAATATTGCAATATTTAAGTATCTGTGCACATATTTTTAATTAATGTGCCCTCGTAATCTTTAATAAAAATAACTTCCCTCCCTCTTGGGAGGTGTGTTTTTTACACACACGTTTTTTTCGCGTTTATAGAGTGCAGAAGTGATGACATCACTTTGTAGGACAACTCGGAAGCTAGCGGCGCATGGGTTCCCTCGATCGAAAAGCTATGCATTAGAGCCCGACAGATAAAGGATTTTAAAGGCCGATACCGATATAAATATTAGTTGGTTTTAAAATCCGATATTCCGATATATCGGCTGATATTTTTTATTTTATTTTTTTCAGGAACGCACAACAAAACATTAATAGATTTCCCTAACATTAGTTATTTGTACTTATGTATGAGTTTTAATTAAAATAATATGATAATGCATTTTAAAAAGAAACTTGTTTCTTTTATTGTCGCAACAGAACAGGGGAGGAACCAAAACTCATTAATTAATTGGCAAAGCTCATTAAATTCCACTGATGATAATGGCATTAGCTAGCTTTGTGGTTAGCTAGAATGTGTTGCGCGTTATAAACGAGTGTTGCCAACAGGGACGGTGTAGAGTGCCCTCTGGTGGACAAACTATACAACTCCAACACTCCAACATTCCAACATGACATGGTTGAAGCGTGTTTCGTCCGTTTTTATTTATTTTTGAAATATTCATTTATCGGCCATTATAACTGCCAATACCGATAGTTTGGAAAATGTCTAATATCGGCCGATAATATCTGCCTGCCGATATATCGGTCTGGCTCTACTATGCATTTTCCCCCATAGACTTTTGGAAAATCGCAAAAAATAAGATCTGTGTTTAACAAAGAGTTGTGACCCTTACACGTTTTGTTTATCAAGATAAAGTTAATCCAAATTTTTTACATTTTGAAGCCTATATAAAGTTTTTAAAAACACAAGCAGGTTATAACTGGTGTGTTCTATGTCATAGATCAAAACGTGAAAATATTTAGAGGCTTTGTTCACCACACACCTTATTTCAGGCAATTTAGCAAAAACCCACTCAAAAATCCCACAGACTTTAAAGCGAGGGAACCGGGAGTGCTAAAATGCTAACTCACTTCCATGTCTTGGCCTACAGAGTGACGTCGTAACTTCGGCACTCTATTCTCCCACCTTCAGTTCCACTAATATTCACAAATCTATTTTTTTTATATAACAGTTAAAGCTCTTTTCATGTAGTCACAATGGCATATTGCGTCATATATATATTTAAACTGATGAAAGAAATGTAGACCCCACTACATTGGTATTTATACTATAGGCATATGTCATGCTGTTTAGCAGTACATAAAACCAAGTCCCACACTACGTTTTTTTCTTGTTCGAGAAGACATTTCACTCGGATATATACATCACAATAGGTAAGAAAAGACTATCACAAACTTCCAGCCCATTCTCACCCCCAAGGCGTCACATAACTGACGCCTTGGGAAGCATTTGACCATGCTTCAATATCTGACGCTTTAGGCGCCCTTTAGCATCAGTTAGATGACGCCCTAGGATCGCGTGTACCCTACCCCCACCCCAGACCTAAACCTAACCGCGTCCTCTAACCGACGCTTTCCTTTAGCGTTAGTTAGATGACGCTGTAGGATCGAGGCGCCTAAAGCGTCAAATATTGAAGCATGGTCAAAGGTGATGCCTTGGGGTGAGAATGCGTTGCAACTTCTGTTTCATGCCAATGTTAAAGTGATAGTTCACCCAAAAATCTGAAAAATCTGTCATCATTTAATCACCCAAAAGTTGTTCCAAACTATAGGAGCTTATTTCTTCTGCTGAACATAAGAGAAGATACTGTGAAGAACATGAGTAACCAAACAGTTAGGGGAAAAAATACCATGGAAGGCAATGGGTCAAATGTTTGGTAACCGACATTCTTCAAAATATATATATATATTGTGTTCAGCAGAAGAAAGAAACTCATACAGGTTTGGAACGACTTGAGGGCGAGTGAATTATGACAGTATTATCATGTTTGGGTAAACTAATCCTTTAAGTAGTATCCTTCTCTCTAGTCAGTGATGGAGCCGGTAGGAGCAACAATATTTGGGTGACGTGATTGTCACTGCATGTTCCTTTTGAACCCAACACTTTCAACTCAACACTCCAGTAAAATCACAAAATAAAATGCAAATCAGACTGAATTTCATTTTTATTTTTATTTTTTATTTGAAAAGGTTGACATTCAAGCAATATTATTGAAAAACTGAACTGAATTACATAGTTTCTTTTTTTGATAATTGCCACCCCCAGCACTGAGAACATGATAATTGTCCTTCCCAAAAGTCATGTGTTTAATGGTTACCATGTAATGACCCTGTAGTTTTTAGTAAGCGAACATCAAATTACAAATAAATTAAGGGCGTGAATCGCCTCTGCACCTCTAATTTAGATGAGTCCAGTGTTTGTGGTTACTTCTTAAAAGCTTTCTGCAATTAGCCGCTGGAAGTGATGCACCAATGCTAATTATCGAATAATTGCAGTGATCAAGTTTGTAGAGGTGAATGAGAAGGTTGTTTATAGGACTCCTATAAGTGGCATTACAGATAGCTGATTTTTCTTTCATTTTGATGTTTAATTACATGCACTGCGTTGCTCGTTGGTATTAATTTTAAATAACATAGTGAAACATGCTCCAAAAGCTGCTAATAATTAATACATTCATAAAAGTAATACAAACTATTACAAATTCATTATGGACTCCTTAATGGGATAGTTCACCCAAAAAGTGAAAATGTCTTTCATTTATTTACCCTCATGTTGTTCCAAACCCAAGACTTTTGTTCACCTTTGAAACACAAATGGATATCTGAATGAAATCTGAAAGAATGAATAGACTCCATTGAAAGTCTATTTAAAACAAAAACAAAAAACGAACCTAAAGCGCCTGTAAAGAGAACGTAATATAAATATCAACTAAAATAAAGAATCGAGTGGTTTAATCCAAGCCTTCTGAAGAGGTATGATCACTTTATATGATGAACAGATTTCATTTAGACTTTTATTCACAAATAAACATTGATCAGCGGGAATAAACAGAATGCATGAGCAAAATTTACCAAATTTATATACTATATATATGCAGATTCGCTGATCAATGTTTGTATGTTAACAAAATCCTAAATTAAATCTGTTCATCATATAAAGTGACCATGTATCTTCAGAAGACTCAACTGCTTGATTCATATGGATTTTTTTATTATCTATTTATGAGCGTTTTAAAGCATCAGAGGTTTGAGGGAGGAGCAAAAATCTCTGGATTTCATTAGAAATCCCTTCATTTGTGTTCTAGATAAACAAAAGCCTTGTGGATTTGGAACAACGACTAAATGATGACCGAAATGTCATTTTTGGGTGAACTAACCCTTTAAAGGGTTAGTTCACCCAAAAATGAAAATTAAGTCATTAATTACTCACCCCCATGCTGTTCCAACCCCGTAAGACCTTCGTTCATCTTCGGGACACAAATAAAGATATTTTTGATTGAATCTGAGAGCTGGATCACTCTTCCATAGAATGCCTAAGGGACTGGCTCTTGACGGCCCAGAAAGTCATTAAAGAAAAGGTTTAAATATTCCATGTGCCTACAGCGGCTCAATTATAAGTTTATCAAGCGACGAGACTACTTTTTGTGCGAAAAAAACATAAATAACGACTTTATTCCACCATTCCATTACTTCCTTATCGGCACATGCACGAGAACTGAGACGAGGACGTTCTCATTCGTTTACTTCTTGTTACCGGCTGCTCACCGCTTAGGAGTTTTACCGCCCCCTACCGTATAAAATGATGATCCATATATAAGGCGCTCCGGATTATAAGGAACACTGTCGTTTTTTGAGAAGATTAAAGGCTTTTAAGTGCACCTTATAGTGCGGAAAATACGCTAATTGAAAAGCGTTTGTACAGCGCGCATCTTCCTCTGCTTGTAAACAGAAAGTTTTGCGCTTCCAGCTATATCAGCACATTATCTTATACGGTAGGGGGCGGTAAAACTCCTAAGCGGTGAGCAGCCGGTAACAAGAAGTAGACGAATGAGAAAGTCCTCGTCTCAGTTCTCGTGCATGCGCCGATAAGGAAGTAATGGAATAGTGGAATAAAGTCGTTATTTATGTTTTTTTCGCACAAAAAGTAGTCTCGTCGCTTGATAAACTTATAATTGAGCCGCTGTAGGCACATGGAATATTTAAACCTTTTCTTCAATGACTTTATGGGCCGTCAAGAGCCAGTCCCTTATGCAGTCTATGGAAGAGTGATACAGCCCTCAGATTCAATCAAAAATATCTTTATTTGTGTTCCGAAGATGAACGAAGGTCTTATGGGGTTGGTACAGCATGGGGGTGAGTAATTAATGACTTAATTTTCATTTTTTGGGTGAACTAACCCTTTAAGTGGTCAGGTTTAAAGTTTAAAATTGAAATTGAAAATATCCTTGTGGCTGCTTTACAGGTTGAAGAAATCTCTCCAGACACCTCAGTAAACAAGAAGACTACAGTCCTCAAGGAATCATGTTCGGTTTGTTGCGTTCTCTGGCATCACCTGAAATTAAACTCGACATCTTACACACAAGTAACCCAAGATGTTTACCTGACCTTTAACCCAAGAACAAATCCATCAAGACTGTCCGCATCTCAGATCCCATATTTCGATAATCCAAATAGACATGCAAATTTTAAAGTGCCATTCGAGATTGACTTTGTAGAAAATATTGCTAACTGACAGATGCTTGAGAAAAGTTGAAAGGCTTGAGAAGATGCTAATTGTTAAAATGCAGGTGTAATTTATAAACCTTTGTGGTGAATTTTTAAATAGTAAGATATATATATTTTTTTATGGTATTTGTTGGACATTTGATGTTTGAAGACAACAAACATGCCAATGAATGTCTTGACAGCACACTCTAGCCCCTCGTACTCTACAAATCATACAAATCACAAGTTTAAATCATTTCTTTTTTTTTTTATGTTTTTGACAGAATTTTCTTACTGTATGCTCACCAAGGCTGCATTTATTTCATATGAATGATTTCTGGAGGATCATGTGACACTGAAGGCTGGAGTAATTCAGCTGTGCATCACAGGAATAAATTGCATTTTAAAACATATATATAAAAAAAACTGTTACATTAAATTGTAATCATAAAAAATGTACAATTTTTGTAAATGTTTTTACTGAACATAAGATACTTCTTTCAAAAACATTGAAAAATTTTCCCCCTTTGAACAGCCCGTTCTCATCCCAAGACGTCATCTAACAACTGACACTTTTGACCAATACGTCAACATCCGGCGTTTTAGGGTACCCTTTAACGTCAGTTAGATGACGCAATCTAATCCTAACCCTACCCCAGACCTAAACCTACCCGCGTCATCTAACTGACGTTAGGGTACCCTAAAACGTCGGATGTTGACGTATGGTCAAAAGCGTCAGTTAGATGACGTCTTGGTATGAGAATGTGTTGTTTTGACCGATAGTGGTTTTGCTGCTATGATATGCCCTGCATACAAAAAAGTATTTTGAATTGTAATCAATTAATGGATTGAGAAATGCTAATGTTTCTGCTTGCATGTGTCAGCCTGGTCTCATTGTTAATACGTAGCTATTTTACGTTTTTGCAAAGATAGAAAACGTACTTTTTAGTACGTTTGGATAGATGCTGAAACGTATAATATAGACGTATCTGCAACATTTAAACGTAACATTATTACGTTTTTACAGCTACAAAACGTAAACTATTTACGTATATTCTATATCATAAAGATATCTGGATAATTTCCCTTTTTACTATTTTATAGATAAATTTAAGATCCCGTAACCCTAATCCCAAACCTAAACATACCCATTTTATACTTAATATAAAAAAGGATAAAACGTAACGGACAGGTGTTGGGAAAGGGCAGTTTTAAAAACAATATAGCATTAAAATATATTTTGAGCCACCTACTCCTACCCCTAAACCTACCATAACAATTCCTTAAAACTACGTAAAAAACTACAATTATGAAGAAAAACATAACTAACAGACAAGTATAATCACAATAATTTATTTATTGCGAAAATGTCAAAACCGATACCAAAAGCCGTTCACATGACGAAGCGTTGCAGTCGCAGTCTTCTCTCTGGCAGTATTGTAATAGTTTTGTATGAAGTACAGAGCAGAAATTAAATTACTAATGAAAATGTTAATCCGGCTTCGGTTGGTTCGCGCTTCTCCATTTCAAAATTCAAATGAACTAAACTAACCAACCGTCTACAGTCCTTCATGTCGCAAACTGTGACGAAGCAGGGAAGAGCCAATGAACGTTTGATATCGCTGCCGTAAAAGATGACGTATGGGCGCAATATTTGAATTTGAATTCATCACCAGCGCGGCCCGGGGTTTGACATGTAACGTTACGGTCGCTGCTGAGAATCTATCACGATTGGATAAGAGGCTGAAATCGCTGAATTAGGAGTTGTTTCTTGCAAACAACTATGGATTCTAAAGATTTGGATTACATCAAACTAATAAAATTGATGTCTTTTGTGAATTTTTGTTGTGTTTTATAGGAGAAAACGCTTTATGTGTCTCAAGGTAAATAAACTATTACAAAATGGTTGAACGAGTAACGTTAAAGAATGTATATTTTTTAAGGTTTTATAGTGTATTGTTTAACACCATGCAGGCGAAACGAGCAAAATGTTAATATTTATTAGTATTATATCAATAATGCGACTGAAAACCTCATTAATAAGACAGTGGGATGCAATAGAGTCAAAACATAATGCTACGATATTAATATGCATAAATTGTGATACGTACAATGTGTACGTCGGTGGATTTGTTCATACGTAAATAAATTACGTTTTTGTGCTGTCAATACGTAAATATTTTACGTTTTAGTACTGTAAATACGTCAGTATTATACGTTTCTGCGCATATAAAACGTAATTATATATACGTATGATAGAACGACACTTTACGTACACATACATACGTATTCTCATGAGATCACGTTGGTTTCCAGGCACACAGTTTCCCGTTTCCCTGTGCATCTTGCCACAACTCCCAAAAATAGTGAGACACAGCGGCAGCTGTCCTAGAAATGTGTCGCTCAGCCATAAAGTGAATGAGGTGTATCATGATTGATCATTCTTCACATCACCACTATTGAAGTGAAAGCCAGTCACCCATGTCAGGAACTGCTCCCAGATGTGTGAGCATCTCTCTCTCATTCACTTCATCAGTTCTCTGAAGCTTCCCAAAAACTCTCTTATGCAACAATAAAAATCACATCATGCTAATAATGCATTTAAGACTCATCTGCTCTCAAGGGAACAGCTGGTTGCGATGATCCGCTGCTATGTTTCCCAAGGTCAGCAAAACTATTTTTGCCCCAGTCGTTACATAATGATTCTCTTTTTATCTGAAATGTTTGCTAATAATATGTTTTCTTGGCAGTGCAGTCATTAGGGTGGAACAAAAGAGACGTGGTTTACATCACACAGACATATGCGTTTCTACAGAGGTCATGCCCTTGAGTAGCAGTTTCATTTAAAACTAAAAGATTCCACGATTGCAGTTTGTATTTTTCGGACAGAAGAGGTGAAGGACTCCTGGGTTTCCATATTTAAGGGCAAGTTTCGTCATTTTTTGCGTATAATTACTAAAAAGATTAACTTCACTGATGTTTTGGGCTGGTAACCAAAAGTGATGAATGAACAATTGGAAATGTGACTTTATAAACTTTTTTAAAGGTTTTTATACCAGCCGTTTGTTGTAGTCCTTAAAAAGCTCCCTTTGCTTTGAACTTTATTACTTTGCAGATTTTGTTACAGCACGAGAGAACATAAAAGCACTGAAATAAATGTTTCCTCCCATCTCATAATTTTTCACCATGTCCCTCAGGGGGCTCCGTAATCAATCGAACCTGCACTGAAAAAAAAAAACTATTAAAAAATCAAACTTTGAAACAATTTTTAGTAATTTTTACAAATAGTTACAAAAAAATACATTAAATTACATTGAAACTTGAAAAGTACAAAGACTGATGGCCTATAGTATCTCTTGTAAAACTCTAATCTTTAATAATCTTCTTTTACAGAGACATCGTAAGGCTTGGTTCCAGCTCTGCAATGTAGGCCGTCTCTGCTGACTATCTGAGGACACTCCTTTTGCTTGGATGCTTTATCGAAAGGCTTTCTGAGCCTGATAATAAGGCTAGCAAGACTAACAACAACAATAGAGCAAAAACACAAAGACATTTAGAGATCTTCCCCTAGGCACGAGGGTGAGAAGAGTTACCAAAGAGATCTTCTGGCCTTTCCAGATTTTGAAGCCTGGAGGAAACGCACTGAACCATACACAGAGGATTTTGCTGACATGTTACAGTAGATTTGAATTATATTCTGTTCTGATGTCATATGCAAAACTGTGTAGACACTACTTAGCCTATCCGTAACGTTAAGAACATAATAATGTTTGCTTGGTGTCCTAGCCAGTTTCAGAGAAATTATAATTAACATTAAAAAAGGAATTAGCTGAGAAGCCAAATAAGCAATTTGGCATCTGGTAGATGTTCTTCACCCAACTCGATCTATGCTAAGTGCCGGTAGAGTCCCACTGGAAATACCTGAAATGAAGTGATTTACTCAGGAGTACAAAAATGCAATACAGTAATCATCAGTTTATCAGTTTCACCTCCATAAATGCTGAAGTTTTGTTCTGCCATGCATGGTTTTTCATTATTAGGTTACAACCACAGCTTATAATGGGCCTAAAGCTTATTCGGACGGGATTAGTTTAACATGGAGAGGTAGGATAAAGTAATTATTACCAGAGCTTCTCAGTGATTTGTATGTAGGTTACCCTATAAATGTGTTTGTGCACGTGAAATCAGGAAGGAATACGCACATGATGGCAGGGAGGTGACAGGGAGAGATTTATTGTCCCATGTGAATTGACCAATACTGTTACAGACGTCCTGTTGTAAAATTACATTACATTACATCAACCCTTGAAAAACGAATCCCGTCGGAATAGGGCTTAAAATCTACATCCAACCGTTTAAAAGTTTTTAATTAGTAAGAAATTAGTCCTTTTATTCAGCATTTTTTAGATAGACAGTAAATACTTTTACATTTTTTTCAAAAACGTTTTTATTTCAAATAAATATTTAGAATTTTCTATTTATCAGAGAATACTGAAAAAAAGTCATGGTTTCCTCAAATAGAGCAGCACATCAAAATTGATAATAATAAAGGTGTCAGATCGCAAACTTTTAAATGGTAATGATTATGACATTTTCAGTCATGCATTGAAAGGGAATGCCTTTTAAAGTAAGCTTTCTTCAGGTATTATAGACCTTCGTGAACTGGAACAGAAATGGAATTGACTGACATTTTTTTTTTTTTTTTTAATAAAGATTTACAATTATTTTGGCTTTGGGGACAGTCCTGATTTTGTCACAATTTGTTCTTGTCCAAACATTTAATCCTAACCATATGCCTAACCCGAAACCTAATCCTACCCATAAGTTATCTATAAAATCAGAGTGAAATGAATTGTGAATAACACTGATGAAAACTGAACTTGTCCCTTAAAATCTGATTGGTTGATTGGAATGTTGTTCCAGGATCAACAAAGATGATGGACTTGGTGAAATCAGCTTCTCCTGGATGGCACACTGAAGAATTTGGCTCATTTTAGAGGTAAACAGATGCTGCATGTTTGAAGTTAAAATTAATTTACATCATCCTGAACAGGTGTGATCAAGCTAAAAATATCTTCCATGTTTACATTTTTAGCATAAATGACACTGCAACAAGCTACACTCACCTAAAGGATTATTAGGAACACCTGTTCAATTTCTTATTAATGCAATTATCTAACCAACCAATAACATGGCAGTTGCTTCAATGCGTTTAGGGGTGTGGTCCTGAACTCCAAACTGAATGTCAGAATGGGAAAGAAAGGTGATTTAAGCAATTTTGAGCATGGCATGGTAGTTGGTGACAGACTGGCCTGTCTGAGTATTTTGCAATCTGCTCTACTTGGATTTTCACGCACAACCATTTCTAGGGTTTACAAAGAATGGTTTGAAAAGGGAATTTGCAAGAGCGCACCAAAATTGGACAGTTGAAGACTGGAAAAATGTTGCCTGGTCTGATGAGTCTTGATTTCTGTTGAGACATTCAGATGGTAGAGTCAGAATTTGGTGTAAACAGAAAGAGAACATGGATCCATCATGCCTTGTTACCACTGTGCAGGCTGGTGGTGATGGTGTAATGGTGTGGGGGATGTTTTCTTGGCACACTTTAGGCCCCTTAGTGCCAAGTGTACATCGCTTAAATGCCACGGCCTACCTGAGAATTGTTTCTGACCATGTCCATCCCTTTATGGCCACCATGTACCCATCCTCTGATGGCTTCTTCCAGCAGGATGATGCACAATTTCACAAACTTGAATCATTTCAAATTGGTTTCTTGAACATGACAATGAGTTTACTGCACTAAAATGGCCCCCACAGTCACCAGATCTCAACCCAATAGAGCATCTTTGAGATGTGGTGGAACAGGAGCTTCGTGCCCTGAATGTGCATCCCACAAATCTCCAACAACTGCAAGATGCTATCCTATCAATATGGGCCAACATTCCTAAAGAATGCGTTCAGCACCTTGATGAATCAATGCCACATAGAATTAAGGCAGTTCTGAATGCGAAAGGGGGTCAAACACAGTATTAGTATGGTGTTCCTAATAATTCTTTAGGTGAGGGTATATTAATATTGGTCAAAAATGCCAATTATACTTCAAAATTTGTAGATTCACTTTGGTCCGTAGCAAAAGTTGTTGGAAACTGGTTAGGACACAAGGGTGAATTTGTATGCCTTCTATGTGTTTCTGCTTGCTTTATCAGATCTGCATGCTGTATCATTTCTGAAATATCATAGGTCAAGCGTATTATCATATCTGGATAAAGCAGCTTTGCGTGTGTTTACTAAGGTGAGCGTGAGGGCAGACCCTGGCATGGGCTGGGCTGATTGAATTACCATGTGCCCGGTTTCATTGTTACCAAGCTGGGATGTGTTTACACGCAACTGAAACACAAGCCACCTCACCTGCCTCTCACATACAACCACAGGGTTAGACTTACCGGGGTCCTGTCTCTGCAAATATGTGTGTTCTGCTTCAGTGTGTTTAAGATTTTCTCGAGATTGGCCATTATTTCGCATGCGAAGATGAACATGCTGGGGGGAAAACAACAGCGTCAATCCACAAGGCTGAATCTACTACCAGTGTGGACATGACCCATAAGAGGCAATCACACTAATTAATTAATATGCTCTCCAGACAAATCAAACATACAATGTGTTGCCATGGAGATGAGAATAAAACCTCGAACAAACCTTCCAGTTGAGAGACAGAAATTGGGACATCGGGAGCCAGGCAGACTTGCTGGCAAAGTTGGTTTTGTTGAATGTGCAGTTTTCTAAACTACGCACAAACGGCATGAAGCCTCTTTATGATTGATGATGTAGTTATCCACATCTAGGCTCTGGTGGATGCATCACCAGACTCGCTGAATTATGGCCTTGCAGCTTATGACGACAACATCGTGTAAGACAGCGTATATGGGCCAGAGAAAACAAATGAGCCGACTACATAAAGACTTAATACAACGCTCTATGTGCTATAAGACAGCATGGAAAGAATCTGTAGCTCTCTCAAGCGCTCTGCCCTCCTTATTCTTTCTCATTACCTCCATATTATTTGGTTTGGTTGTAGTCTGAGACAATGATTTGTTGACAAAACTGTTAATGATAGAGCCATATCATTCAAAACCATTCAAAAAAGTAATGTAATCCCTCATCTTCCTAAAGTTTTGGCAAATGGACTTGCTTAGAAATGTCTAAGTAATTAAGAACAACACTGACGTCCTGTAAAAAGCTGTCTCCAAGTTTGCAAAGTTATTTTATCTACAGTATTTTTGCAGTTCTTGCTTATTTCCTGACCAGTGATGTGATTAAAAATGGGCTTTTTTGTCTCTTTTTTTTAAATGACCATGACTTTTCAGACATTATAGAAGGTATTTGACTTACTTTGGATTTTTCCAATTAAAAAGACATTGGGATGTTGGAAATGTGAAAGATGGCTCATTTTCTTCCATTGCTTGTTTCAGATTTTGCGTTCCTTTGGCCTTGGATACAACATAACACGGCAGCCCAGCAATAAATTCCAGCTTTGTGAATCTTACAAAGTAGTCTCTAGTAAGAAAATCTCTGATTCAATTCTGAGGTAAGCTATTATCAATCATTACTTTCAAACTCCAACCCTACCTTACAAATAATACCTTTAATGGCAATCCACGAATCTGAACTATCTCTAAATGAACAGTGTTTCCATCAGATTTGTAGCTGAGAGTTTCTAGAGGACCAGATTTTATGGCCGTAGGCTTCTGAGACCTTGACATTTGAAGGAACTGTCGCAGTCTGTTTGTTTCTCTCTCATTGACTTCTTTTGTGTCTAGTTTTTCATCCCCTGATGACTAAGCAACAGGGAGTCAATGTCCACAATCCCGCTAGTGATTATGTGTCATTCTCAGACAATATCACAGACTACAGAGCACAAT